TGGTAATGACACATGCCTTTAATCCCAGCATTTGGGAGGCAGAGGCAGGTGGATCTCCTGGTTTAAGGCCAGCCTGGTCTACATAGTAAATTCCAGGACAGCCAGGGCTACACAGAGAAAGCCTGTCTCAGAAATAAACAAACCTCTATTTTGTAGTGTTCTTTCCCCAGCCTTAGTCTACTGCTCACAGTCTCACCAGCTAACAAAACCACTGTCTTGCCAATGTACTGACTTAAAAAAAAAAAAATATATATATATATGACTACTTTCCATCTGAACACATCTAATTTTTTCAAAGCACCTTCTCATTTGATTCAACAGAGGGCTCGGCTGCTACAATGGTCTGTCATCAGAAGTCAAACAACCAGACTCCTAGATAAAGAGTCTTTCATTTGACCTCACTGCTTCACTCAAACAACCAATCATCTTTATGAAAGGTCATAAAGACTTGACTAGCCACATGGCATGGGTTCCCGAACTACAGAAGCTAAGTCAAAAGGATGTGCAGTTGTAGGCCACCTGGACTACACAGAGCTTGAGACCATCTAGGACTACATAGCAAGACTTGTTTCAAACAAAACAAAGTCCTCAGACCCACTGTCTATTTTGGTTGCCTGCTAGTGTGACATCTACAGCTAAACACCAGGCCGAGCCAGGGGGAAGAAGGCTTATAGGAGTTAGAGGGCACAAGCACTTGGCCCACAGAATCATCTAAGCAGGGCTCATAGAGGCTTTAAAAACTGAAGTAACAAACACGGACCCTGTAGGGTCTAAGCTAGGTTCTCTGCATATACCTTATGATTGTGCAGCTTGGTGTTCTTGTGGGACTCCTAACAGCGGGAGCAGGGATGTCTCTGACTCTTTTGCCTGCTCTTGGTAATCCTTTCTCTCCTACTGGGTTACCAGATCCAGCTGTGATATGAGGGTTTGTGCTCAGTTTTATTGTGTCTTGTTAGGCCATGTGCTATGGAACAAACTTTGTACACTAAATATGTATTACTCTCATTGGTTAATAAAGAAGCTGACTGGCCAAAGGCAGGATAGCTGGAGGTTAGGTAGGAAGCCAAACTGAGAGGATGATGGGAGGAAGAAGGGCGGGGTCTCTGTAGAGTCTCAAAGTAAGACAAATGTGCCTCGTTGAAAGAAGGTACTGACACATGGCAAAGGACTAAGAAATATGGGTTATTTTCAAACGTAAGAGTTAGCCAGTAACAAGCATGAGCTATCAGTCAAGCATTTATAATTAATAAGTCTCTATGTGCTTATTGGGGAGCCACTGGTCCCAATAAAAAAACTACAGCCATGTGCCATGTTTAGTGGATATCCCTGGGAGGCCTGCTGGAATTGAACTGAGGAAGAGGGGGATGGGGGGAGAAGTGGAAAGAGGGGAAACTGTGATCAGAATGTAACACATGAGAGAAGTTAATAAAAAAGAAAACAAAGAAGTTCCTGTCCATTTCCTGCAGTGCTGGTGAATAAGACAGAGGACCCTAGGAGAGAAAAGCACTATGTTCCTACAGCACAGAGGCTGCTAACATTCAAGGTGTCAGGAGCTTCCCTTTTCTACTAAGCAGATGGTAAGTACTGTGACAACTCTTCCAGTGGGTCTAGTAGAAGGAGCTTAACAAGAGAACTATAGCTATAATGGGCCTATCCACCCATGCTGACTGACCTCAAGCCAGAGCTGTCGGCCATCCTGTTCAGTAGGGCTGCTTTCAGTGGTAGCAAAATACTGCATGCCATCTAACAGGCAAGTCCAGGATGTCTTTTGTTTCAGTGTGTCACCATACCATGCTGGATGATGTTGGCACTGCAGTAACTGGGCTTTGGCAGCTGACACAATGACACAGCCTTCTGTCTCTGCTCCACGAAGAACCATCTGTTAAAGAGAAAAGCAATTTTATACATGAAGGGAGATGAGAAGTATCTTCAGATCACTGTACGTGACTGACTCTGGCTTACAGAGTGAACGTCACTGGGTTTTATACTGCTAAGTGATTACTTAGGATACCTGTAGAAAGGGACAAATCTGGAAGGTGTGATGGCACATGCCTTTAATCCCAGAACTTGGGAGGTAGAGCCAGGCAATCTCTGAGAGTTTGAGGCCTGCCCAGTCTCCAAAGTGTGCTCGGGGACAGCCAGAGCTGTTTGTTAACCAGAGAAACCCTGACTTCAAAAACAAAAACAAAAAAGAGAGAGAGAGAGAGGGACAAATCTGAGCTCTAACCATTCATTCTTCAGTGGAAAAGCACTGAGTTGAGGACACACACTCATAACCTTGGCATTCAAGAAACCGAGGCAAGATGGCCTCAGCTGCACAGTGGGATCCTATTTTATTTTATTTATTTACTTATTTTGAAATAGGGTCTCACTATATTGCCCTCAAATTCAGAATCCACCTGGCTCTGACTCCCAAGTGCTGGGATTAAAGGTATATGCCACCATGCCCAGATCTTAGAACTCTATCTTTAAAAAAAAATATTTTAAAACTAGAGAAAAGTAAATAATGTGACTGGGAACTAGCCTGATACTGGTGTCCTATAAAGAAAAGGGTACCTGGCAGTTCACCAGCTCAATAAGGCAGTTGCGATTGTATATGTCATCCGTCTGGCAGGCAGCAATGCCACACAATTGGTCACTCATACCGGACTCCTCTTCTGTGAATACTACAAACCTATCTGTCTCTTCAATCAGCTTTTGCAACATGTAAGCACCTGACAAAGAAAGAAGTGGAGAAGGTCACCATCTCAAAGGTAAAGAACACACAGCTAGGGCCACACTGATCCTCCTTTATTTACTGTCTAGGTAAGGGCTGAGATACATCTTCAACTCTACCCCACCCTTGACTCAAAGTGGTAAAATAAAAGTTTCTTAGCTCCTGCTCAATATTAATAAAAGTAAAAGATTTCCAAAAGAAATAAAAACACCAGTTTAAATGGCATTATTTTTTCCCTAAAGCCCCTACCATGACAGTGGAAAGAACTGAACCAGGTCCTCTGTAAAAGCAGCAAGTGTTCTGAACTGCTGAGCCATCCTCCCCACCCCTTTTCTCCTTTTTGCATATTAAGCCTGCCTGGTATATAGCACTCCCTTGTCAGCAGTGGCACCATATTCCAGCTTTGCTACTTCCTTGAAGGTCTTAAGACCTTGGCATGTACCCGCTTTTCTATTAATTAGTTTGCCTAACAGAGTATTATGAGCAGTGTCAGAATTAGACTAGTCTGCCAGTGGTCAAGATCCTGCCTCTCTAGCAACTACTCAACTGTGACTTTGGGCAGCTTGCTTTATTCTTTGTGCTTTTAATCAGTAAGTCATTTTTTTAGCCCCCTCATCCCCTTTTTTTTTTGGTTTTTTGAGACAGGGTTTCTCTGTGTAGCTTTGGAGGCTGTCCTGGAACTAGCTTCTCGTAGACCAGGATGGGTCTCCAACTCACAGAGATCTACCTGACTCTGCCTACCAAGTGCTGGGATTAAAGGTGTGGGCTTAGCCCCTACTTTTTTGTTGTTGTTTGTTTTGTTTGAGACAGTTTCTTTATTATGTGGCTTGGCTGTCCTGAAATATAAGACCAAGATGGCCCTTGAACTCAGAGATTTGTCTGTCTCTGACTCTACAGTGCTATATACCAGGCAGGCTTAATTTTCCCTTGTTTTAAGTTCCTCCAGCAGTCAAGTCTCCTATGTGCATAGTAGCACTCAGTCTCTCAACCATTCCAGCTGGTCCACCTCCTTCCATTCCTTGCTTCCTCCTGCTGACATATTGTGACAGTTTCCTCATCTGCCTGTCCACATACTGTCCTCCTACACACCACTACTAGAGTTATCTTCCTAGCAGTCAAAATCTAATTATCGGTCTATTATTCAAAGACCTTTAGTGGCTCACCATCCCTAATGTAGAAGGACATGTGTGGAAGGTCCAGAAGGTCCCCAATGATCTCCATGTTTTCTTTTTAACCATTTTCTCATTCCTTTTGTTACTGTATCATAGAAAACTGTTTACTCTCCTTTGAACACAGTACCCTTTCCCAATACCGTTCCTATTCAGGTTATTCTCTTTGTACGGACTGCCCCTCTCCCCATTTCCACACATCCCAATCATGCTATACCCTAAAAGTCAGCTCAAATATTACTTCCTCAATAAATCCCTCCTGTTTACATGCCCTTTCACTTTAATTTCCCTGTTCTTTGAATTCTTCTTGTGGCATTTACCACTTTTGACCTTGTTCTCACACTCACATAAATTTCCATTCCCTTCTAGTCGTTATTTCCTAAAATGCCCACTCATTTCTTGCCCAAGTCTTATCTTTTAAGATTTTTCCCAGGGTGCTGGAGAGATTGCTCAGCAGATAAAGAACTTGGTAGTGTTTCAGTCCCCCCCACCCAAGACAGGGTTTCTCTGTGTAGCTTTGGAGCCTATCCTGGCACTCACTGTGTAGACCAGGCTGGCCTCGAACTCACAGAGATCTGCCTGCCTGCCTCCCGAGTGCTGGGATTAAAGGCGTGCAACACCAACGCAGGCAGTGTTCCAGTCTTATGCCAACTAAGTACTTAAGTCTTTGTTGTATGAACAAAGTAATTTATCAAAAATTGATACAAGTCTATACATATGGTGTTAGTATTTGCCTAGAATACATACACAAGGACTTGAGTTCAATATCCAACATTAAAAACTAGAAAAAGAGTCAGATGGTAGGGCGCACACCTTTCATCCCAGTACTCAGGCTGTGACTGGTGGATTTAGGACAGCCAAAGCTGTTACATAGAGAAAACCTGTCTCAGATAGATAGATAGATAGATAGATAGATAGATAGATAGATAGAGAAAAAGAAACAAATCTTTTTATTTTTTTGGTTTTTTGAGACGGGATTTCTCTGCGTAGTCCTGGCTAGCCTTGACTCAGAGATCTACCTGCCTCTGCCTGCCAAATGCTAAGATTAAAGATGTGTACCACCACCACCCAGCTAAAAAACAATTATTTTTTGTTGTTTTGTTTAGAAAAGGTCTCACTATGTAACCTTGGCTGGTCTGGAACTTGGCTATGTAGACCAGGCTGGCCTCTGCCTTGAGTGCTGAGATTAAAGGTGTGCACAACCACACCAGCAGGAAACAATTCTTGAATCTTTGGCTTCTTTCCCTTACTAATTCTCTTTTGACCCCAATACTTGCTGACTTCCCCTGGACACAAGAGCAGACTTTTGAAGCTTCCTCATTATTAGAAATATAAACCTACGATGTGCAAACATGGAAAAATGATAGTTTCATGAAACTGTCACAACTGTGTCATTCTCACACCCTTGTTCACGTTCTATACCTGACCCCAGAGCCTCATCTGCCCCAGCCTACCTCCCGATGATCCCTTATCAGGCCGTCCACTGAAGCTAGGAGTGCTGACATGAGGTGGGTCTTGGGCATTAGGCGGAATACCACGCTTTGGCTTTTTGGCTGACATCTGGGGATCAATCTTCAAACCTTTCAGAGCCTCAGTTGAGAGATTTCGTTTGAGTACAGCTGCCTTTTTGTAGCCATCATATAAGCCAAAGGCAATGTCCCTGTTGGTGGTTGTCCAGGAAATCCGTAAATCGACCAGGTACAGCTGATGTGTATGAAAGGCAGGGTCGCCATCTCTAGTAGAGAGCTCCTGAGGAACAGAGCAGGGTACTAAAATCACACAGACATTCCCACCACCACTGTTGGACAAAATGTGCAGAGACAAGCTTGTCAAACAACACAGTGGCTCTGGAGGAGAGATGAGAAGACCCTGGAGAAAGAAATACTAAGTGGTCTTAGCTTGCACATTACTTTACATCTTAGCTGTACCTAATGCATATTTAATGAATCTGGTAACTTCAAAAGCTGTCCATAATTAGGAGAAATGGAGAAAGACAGCACTAAATGAAGTGTTAAAAACTTTAACTTAATTTCCTGAAGACTAGAAGAGGGAGAAGACAAGGAATTTTCCTTTGGGGGAGGTAGTGGCGCTGGGGTTTGAAACACTGAGCTGCACACCCAGCTCAAGAATTTTAAAGAAGGGCTGTGTCTACATGTGGCAGCACACACCTGCAATCCCAGCACTTAAGGATATGGCAAAAGGACAGAAAAGCCAAGTCAAGCTTGGGCTACAGAGTCGAACGAAAGAGACAGAGAGGGGGGGGGCCACAGCAGCAAGGGCCGAAGATATGGCTCAGTTTTAAAGGCTCTTGCTGCTAAGCCTAAAGACCTCAGTTCAATCCCTGTGTACTTACAGACATACAATAAATGTAATAAAAATAAATTTTAAAAAGAAGCTGGTGAGATGACTCAGTGGGTGAAGATGCTTGCCATCAAGCCTGCTGCCCTGAGTTGGCTCTAATGGTAGAGGACTAATGGTAGAGGCAGAGAACCGACTCACACTAGTTGTCCTCTGACCTGTATGCACACACACCCACAAACCTACCAATAAATGCAATTAAAAAAAAAAAAAAAAGACAAGCTGATACAACCACACCAAATGAATATATCATAAAGTAATGAATACAGTCGGGAACCTTACCAGAAATTAATTCTTACCCCCAATATGACAATACTTGGAGTCAGGAGATAATTAGGTGTGAATGAGGATATGAGGGTGGGGCCCACATGACAAGAAGACCCATGACTGGCACTCCATTATTGGACTTCTCAAGTCTCCAAAACTACTAGAAATTTCTGTTATATAAGCTACCATAGATTATTTTTGCCCACCCACTAACATAACTGATGTAAAAAAGAGACTGTGTCAATCAGTACCTCTTCAGTGGTGCGATTGCTGTGTCGTTGGTAAGTAAGGGAAGACAGGCTCAATAGGTGGGTCTTTGTTATCAAGGGATCAAGGCAGTGGTCAGCATTCTCTTCAGTAGGTGAAGCCATCAGGTGAACAGTCACTTGACTTAAGTCACTCACCATCTGGGTCACACTCCACTCAGAAATAAGGCGCCGCATCACTGTGCCGGCTGAGGAAAGAAGCATACGGCAGATGCAGAATGGTATGAAAGGATGTGAGTCTTAAGAGAAGAGGGGAATGGAACTAGGAAAAAAACAACACAAGGAGCAGACTAGAAGGAATAAAAACTTTGACAAGAGTCAGGCGGTGGTAGCGCACACCTTCGATCCCAGCATTTGGGAGGCAGAGGCAGGCGGATCTCTGTAAATTTGAGGCCAGCCTGGTCTCCAGAGTTAGTTAAAAGACAGGCTCCAAAGCCACAGAGAAACCCCGGCTCGAAAAAACAAAACAACAACAAAAAAGAAACTTCAGCCTTACCTTGAGGTATAAGCCGCTGAGTTCCCCGAGTGAAGACATGGCCCTGACTGCACTCAATCTGGATGCCCCGTTGCTGGGCAAATGAGGCCCAGTAATGTACCTGGTAACAAGAACAAAAAAACTGAAGAAAGGATAGCAAAAGAGATGGTTAAGAGATTCACTATACTAGAAAATAAGGGAACTAAGAAAGGGGAACACAGCTAAATGTTAGATGTCAGAGTCTAACCTGCAGCTGGGGAAAGAGCGCAGTATAGGATAGTTGTTTGTAGTGTTGGCCAAGTTTCTTCTTGCTGGGCTTCAAGTTATTAAAGAGTTTTCCTCTACAGATAGGCCTTGTGACGCTAGTCCAAGTTGCCCAGAAATTCTGCATCCAGCGCAAGGTACTACTGTACAGCAGAATTCGGGGCTGGGATATTGCTACAAAGGAAAGGACAGACATATCTAAGCTGAGGAAAGTGCTTCCCTAGCTTCAGGTTTAGAGATTAAAAAACACAAACAGCCCCCTCATATTCAGTACCCAGCCTCTTCTCTCAAGGATCTAAGCACTCTGCTTTCACCTACTGCGATGTCTAATGCTTGTGCTCACCCCCCTCCTGTAGCCAGTTTTAGGTTAACAATCCTAAACACCGAGGTGACAGAATTGATGAGGGAAGTTGATAGATACTGAGAACACAGACTTTATAAATATACTGATGACAAAGGGTAGTCTTGGTCAGCTGACAACTGGGTCAAGAGCAGGAGTTTATTGGCTCTTTCTACCACCTGAGGACATAGCAAGAAGGTACTGCCATATAAGGACTTCACCAGACACTGAATCTGCCAGCACTTCCATCTTTAACTCCCGAGACGAGACTATACAATTCTGAGAGTACCCATTACTCCAGCAACATAAACTATGGTATTAATGCTAATAGCAATCCAAAAAGACACTAATCCTCCTACAAAGAAAGGTCCCAACCTAAATTCTGCTCTGTCCTTCTATCCCATCATTCTTTCAATCTAAAGTGGTCAGTATCCCAAGCCCATCCTCCCCACTGTCCCAGGCCCAAGTCTCACTCCCACTATGTCGAGTCAAATCCATCCTGATGGAAAGATTGAGGTTCTCAGAGCGGAAGGCCCGGTAGGAGTCATGGAGCTGGCCCAAGGGTACTTCAGGCAGGAACTCTGGAGCCCTCAGAGTGACGCTGTGATGATCATGAGGGTTCCCATGACACAGCCACTGCAGGTCCAGTGTCATGCAGAGGTCAGGCAGGTGAAGGAAGCAGCAGTCGTCATACCTGTCTCACAAGGGAGACCCAGCCCTCAGAGACCCGGTCTCTTGCTTCCCCTGGCCCTTGCCCTCTTCTTCCACCTTGACTAGGCCCCACAATAGTTCACTGCACTCACTTAGAGGCTGTCCTTACGTTGACATCCAGGTCCCCTTGGAACACAAACTGACCAGGTCTCCAATGGAAAGAAAGGTGGCTCCATTCCCAGTGCATGTTTTCAGTTGTATTGTATGGATCCTGTAATGAACCCCATCCCAAAGGACAAGATGAGCTCTGGCGAACAGAACGGTCTCCCACATGCTACACAGGCCCCAGCTATATTATCCCAATAAGGAAATGACTCCAAGGAGCCCCTCACCTCCGTGGCCAGCTGATGCAGGTTTGCTTGTTCAATATCCATATGCCAGTCCCCATGGAACAGAAGACGGCTCTTATCCCACCAGGGCAAAGGTGGGCTGGGGTCAGCTGAGGGCTTAGTCAAGAGGTCCACACATTGACCAATCAGTGTCCAGGCTGGATCCCAGCATGGGCCCCACACCACTGTGTACTGGAAGATTTCCGCTAGGGTAGAGGAGGAATGCAGGCTTCAGCTTACTACAAAAACACCTCTCTGTTCCTCCTTTGCTCCACACAGCCTGGGCTTCTCTTCCATCCGAAGCCAACAAATACCCCTCAGCAAACCAAACGCCTCCATTACTCACAGTGGAAGTCATGGTAGAACTTGAGTGGAGGCATGTTCCTCTCCACTGCCACGTTACCCCAGGGAAGCCCCAAGTGCAGGATTTGACGTCGCCGGGAGCAAGGCTGGCCACTCTGCTCAGTGCCCGCAAGTCGACCCATGAGCCGCCAGTCACGGATCTCAAACAGGTACCGTGGATAGTCTCGGATCCGAACTATTATTAGACAGTAGATACACACTGGTTGTTCACTTTTTTGGTTTTTTTCCCCCTTGTTTTTATCCCTCTATAATCAATCGAGAGAACAAGGGCTGACAATTAAGTAGAAAAGCTAAGACAGGTCTTAGAGACCATGAGGCAAGGAGTGCAGGAAATTCAAGAGCCACAATAATGTTAAAAGAGGGCTGTGCTTATGGCCCTATTATGTCAACCAGCAATTTCAGGGTGAAAATCAGAATCAAAGAAAAGCAAGCAAAGCCCACCCACCACAAACCAATGACAGTTTCCAACACAACCTAGCTCCTCTGTAATCACTCAGAGGGCTCCCTGGCACTCACAGGACAAATATCAGGCTCCACAAATAAGAGATGCACTTACCCAGAAAAGTTTTGACACTGCACTTCAGCATACGACACCACTGAATGACAAGGTCTATTCCTTCAGCAGGAAAAGGGCTGCCAGGGTCAAGCTCTCGAACCTGCTCTAGCACATGTTCAGGCCCATGGAAGGATGCGTCTGCCAGAGCCACCAGCTCTAGTCCTGCCAGGCTCCAAGTGAGCAGTGCACGGCGCATGGGTGTGTTGCCATAGAGACGACGAGAGCGCTGGATGTAGATTTCAATGTTTTTGCGTTCCAAAGAGGCATAGAGCTCCTCAATTTTTCGAGCTGGCAACAACTCCCCATGCTGCTTCCGCAGGGCAGCCACTTTGGCATCCAGCAACTGCAGCCTTTTGGCGCTCTCCTTACTTTCATCCTTCATCAGTTCATAGTTATCATGAAGCTTCACCTCAAAGATGTCATCCAGGAAAACCCAAGAAAAGTGCTGGACCTTTAGGAGTAGATCAGGTGGGAGTGGGGCAGGGCTTGGAGAAGCCCACGCACGAGTCCCTCGATGCAGCCCCTTTAGCCACTTCTGAACTCCCACTGCCTCATCCAAAGTTCGAGAGAAGTCATACTGATAAGGAAACTCCACTGAGACTGATCCAAGAGAGAGGAGCCAAACCCGATTCCGGAGGGTCTGCAGTACAGGGAAGGGGTTCCTGTGGAGGATCATCTCCTCTAGCTCAGGGAGTAGCTGCAGCTCCACCTCTTTGAAGTTGAAGATGCTATTGCCATCAAAGCCAGCAGCCAACTCAGGGCAGTAAGCCTGCAGTGAACCTCCATGCCGGCTCAGTGACACACTCTCTGCAGCCAGGGTAATGAACTTGTCCTCAGCTACAAAAGCGGTCAGTTTGGCTGTGCTCACCTCCAGTGTTAGGTTTAGCAGCCGCCTAGGTGGGGATGGCTCGGGGAGATGGTCTTCCAGCTCAGAGGTGGACCGTGGAGGCTCTAGTTCATGGAATTCAACAATCTCAGGAAACACAGTAGCTTGTAACAAGTCTCGGCATTGTAGAGTGGACAAGACATGCTGGTATAAGTACATGTGATCTGGGGGGCTCCAGAGTAAAGTCAGCCCCGCACCACACTGAACCTTTGGGTGTAAGAAAAGAATCTGCCAATCACTATGTCTCAGATCAATAGAGGTAGCACATGCCTACCTGGTTCAAGAATTATTTCCACTCACAAGGCTTTCCTGAGAAATCACTTTAATTACTGCCTTGCTTGGTACCTGTTAGTACTAAGATGCTGGTACCAGACATCATTATCTCACACTTATGAGCACATACACATCCTATACTTGATTCTAAAATGTCATGTGTTTTCTTTGGTTATTTATCATACTACATCTAATATACACAGAAGATACTTCAATAATCACTTGGCTTTATGTTTCCATTCATATATTACCATTCAATGAACACTGAAGAGAAACAAGTGCAACTTGAAATGTTTCATCAACAGATTGAATGACCTGATTCCTAAAACACAGTGTAAAAAGTACTGGCCACACAGTTTAACAAAGCAACTGACAACTGAATGTGCCCCCTTGTCATCCTGAAAGACAAAGTAAAGTCAGTTCTGATAGCTCAAGGGATAGAGAAATTGAAATACCAAAGACACAGGCGTTCTCTTAAATCTAGTCTCTGAAAAGCAACCACCTCCTTAGCTCCCAAAGGAAAGTGCTTCTCTCCTCCCAGGAAGACCCTATGCCCACCTTATACTCTACAGAGAAAAGGACACTGGAAAGCCCCCCATCTTCAGATCCCTTCTAGCCTTCTAAGGAGCTGAGTGCTTCCATGGAAGTGTGCTTTGTGTGTTAACACACACATGCACCACAATGCACATATGGGCATCAAAGGGCAACTTCAAGAGTTGGAGCTCCCCTTCCACCCTCGCAAACGTGTTTACCCAAGGAGCCATCAATGAGGTCCTCATCTTTTTTTTCTTCACATTTATATTTATGAATGTTTTGCCTGCATGAGAGAAAAGGGCATCAGAACCCCCATTACTGGAGCTATTGGTGACTAGGAACCACCATGTGGGTGCTGGGAACTGAACCTACAAGTCCTCTAGAAGAACAGTCAGTGCTCTTAATCACTGAGCCATCTCTCTAGCCCCACTAATTTTTTTTGCAACTAGGTCTCTCACTGAACCTGAAACTCACGGTTCCAGTCTAGCTTGTAGGGTATGGCTGGTACTTTTACACATGAGGCCTGTGACTTTCATGATCCACCTGTCTCCATCCTTCAATGCTAGGCTACAGGCCTGACTCTTATATGGGCACTAAGAATTTGAATTCAGGTCCTCTAACATGTACAGCAAACACTCTTATCTGTTGAACCAATTCCCAATTTTTCAATAGCCCACTATTATTATTATTATTATTATTATTATTTATTATTATTATTATTAGGCTTTGGTTTTTCGAGACAGGGTTTCTGTGTTGCTTTGGAGCCTGTCCTGGAACTTGCTCTGTAGGCCAGGCTGGCCTCAAACTCACAGAAAACTGACTGCTTCTGCTCCCGAGTGCCGGGATCAAAGGCGTGCGCCACCAACGCCCGGCTCCACTATTTTTTTATATACACACCTTGAAATAATTATAATTAAAATGATATATCTGGTATCTCCTTTAAAATGGCACCAGAGCTTGGGTAGGGGAGGTTAAAATGAGTACAGCTGCCACAAGATAGTCACAAATGGGCAACTACTGAAGCTGGAAATATTAAAGTTCAAATATTCTCTCTATATTTTGCATGCATTTCAATAGCGTAGTAAAATGTTTACAATGCAAAAAGAAAGGAAAGATGGTCACCAGCTCTCATTTTTCTCTAAGTTTCACAACATTATTTCAAAAAGTCTGAAAAGGGTTTTAAGTGGTAGGAAAACCAAGTCTGGCCCTCAGCCCCAAAGCATTACCTCTAGAGAGCGGATGCTGCTGTGATAGGTGAGGGACAGCATGGAAAGGCCGAGCACTGGCGTGGGAATGTCAGGCGCCTTACAACAGGGCTGCATCTTCTCTGTGACCGATTTTACTAGTGCAAGCACAAGCCCTTGAATCCCCACAGTGGAGGTCTCAGCACTGCCCAAGACAGTCAGTGTGTCCAGTCGAACCTCTGAAGCACCTGACCGGAGAAACCAAGACAAGTAACAGCCTGTTTTTCCTCCTCCCTTTACTGACTTTAGTCCCCACACATCCCCTAAGTGATTGCTAGTATTTTAGGAAAATTTTAGATCTGGCAAAGTCAAAGAAGTTTTCCAGTGTCTAGAAATGATCCTCAGAACTACACACAAGAAAATAAAAGGCTACGTAGGAGCCAGACACACCTATAATCCCAGTTTTTGTTAGGTAGAAATGGAAGATTCCAAACTGGACTACTTAACAAGATCATGCCTCAAGGGAAAAAAAAAAAAAAAAAAAAGACAAAAGAAACCCTATGTTGGTCTCATTCTCTTGATCACGTCAAGGCTAAATTTTCCCCCATCTGTGTATTTTTTAATACTCGCCTTCAATAGCTACTAAGCAGCAGCACAAAGCCTATTGTTCAAGCCCTCTAATGTCTCATGACTCTTAACATGGAAACTTTCCAGATAATCAGCTTCCTTAAAGGAGAAGCAGCTGAGTGAACCAGCATAAGCTGCTAAATTGGCATACTACCCACTTCCTGCTCCACTTACCAACCAGTGCAGAAAGAGTGAACAGGTTCATGTCTTCCACCTTCAAGTCCACCTTCCACAGTAAGGTCACAGACTCCCCAAGCAAAGACTTCCTAGAGACAGCTGACTTTTCAGACTGTGGAATCACTAAGGATAGGATTCGAGACAGACACTGGGCACAGATGTCTGATATTTCTACCTGAAGTCCTCGAATAGTACAGTCAAGAAAGAGAGTATTGGATTGGGTGCTGGACAAACCCAGGGGCTGGTTATAGCTACCCTAGAAAAGAAAGGAAGCCATGCAGATGCAGAGTTAGAATACCCTGGTGCACCATCCACACCAAGAGCAAGATCAATGCTCAGAAGCATGTCATAGGGATAGGGAGCTCTGTGGGCCCCTACTCACCACACAGCATCCACCTACCTGCAGTGTGAAAGAGTCCAGG